TCTTCGGGGTGTATTCGCAACCAAAAAGCCATCCAGATAGTTAGCTGGCTAGCTAACTAGCTAGCCAGCTAGCCAGCCAGCTAGCCAGCCAGCTAGCCGGCCAGCCAGCTAGCTAGCTAGCTAACTAGCTGTGGATGTAGGGATTTGTTCGTTTTGATAACTAAACGGCTAGCTAGCTACGCGTCTAGCTAGCTAGCTGTCCAGCTAGCTAGCTGTCTAGCTAGCTAGCCGTCTAGCTAGCTAGCTAGATAGCTGAGTATCGAGTTAGCTAGCTGTCTAGCTAGCTAGCCAGCTAGCTGGCCGTCCAGCTAGCTAGCTAGCTGGCTAGCTAGCTGGCTAGCTAGCTAGCTGGCCAGCTTTCACACGCAACCGGCTCGAGAGTCTCAGTCTGCAGCTACCCAGCTAGCTAGCTAGCTAGCTAGCTACTTACGAATCTGGTGAACTACCCATCTACCTATCTACCTATCTATCTATCAATCTATCTATCTAGCTAGCTAGCTAGCTAGCTATCTCCGTGTTGTCGTAGCTAGCTGAGTCAGCGGGGGGTTGCAGGCGCCGCGTGTCTAGCAGCAACAGCAGCAGCTTTGTCTCTGAGGTTTTGCTGCGTGAAGAAGCGGCCAGCGAACAGCAGCAGCTGCTGCTGGTGCAGCCGCTGCTGCTGCTGCAGCTGCTGCTGATGCTCCAACACAGCCCCCAGGAACGCCAGCAGCAACTCACTCAACTCTGGGTGAGCTGCCAGATACCTACAGGACAACACACAGACACACACCTCCTGCTGCTGCTGCTGCTGCTGCTGCTGTTGCTGCTGCTGCTGCTGCTGCTGCTGGTGATGGTGCTGCTGCTGCTGATGGTGCTGCTGCTGGTGATGGTGATGGTGCTGGTGCTGCTGGTGCTGCTGTTGCTGCTGCTGTTGCTATTACTGTTGTTACTGTTGCTGCTGCTGCTGGTGCTGCTGCTGGTGCTGCTGCTGCTGCTGCTGCTGCTGCTGCTGCTGCTGCATGCTTTGCTGTATCTGTTTTTTTCTTTGTCTGGTTGCTGTCTTTATCGATTTTCTTTGGAGGCAATTTCACTTCTTTTGGGTGTACACACAAGTAACACAACTCCCTATCTGCTAGCTAGCTAGCTAGCTAGGTAGCTAGCTAGCTAGCTAGGTAGCTAGCTAGCTAGCTAGGTAGTTTGTGGTGTATGTCTGTGTCTTTGTCTTTATACGAGCTCCCTAGCTGCTAGCTAGCTAGCTAGCTAGCTAGCTAGCTAGCTAGCTAGCTAACTAGCTTGTTGTGTATGTCTGTGTCTTTGTCTTTATACGGTGCTTCGCTCTGTCTTTGTCTGTGCATGTTGTTCAGCTGCAGCGCTGTCTCTGTCTCCGTAGCTCTATGTAGCTGTCTCCTTCTCTGTCTTTGTCTTTTTCTTTTTTTTTGTCTTTTTCTTTTTCTTTTTCTTTTTGTTTGTCTTTGTCTTTGTCTTTGTTTCTTTTCGTTTCTGTCTTTGTCTCTGTTTCTCTGTTTGTTTTTATCTTTCTATCTATCTATCTATCTAGCTAGCTAGCTAGGTATCTATCTATATATCTAGCTAGCTAGCTAGCTAGCTACCCAGATACCCAGCTAGCCAGCTAGCTAGCTAGCTAGCTACCCAGATACCCAGCTATCTAGCTAGCTAGCTAGCTAGCTAGCTAGCTACCCAGCTAGCTACTCAGTTAGCTACCCAGCTACCCCGCTAGCTACCCAGCTAGCTACCCAGCTAACCAGCTAGCTACCCAGCTACCCAGCTAGCTAGCTAGCTACATATATATATATATATATATATATATATATATATATATATATATATATATATAT